CATTACTTTGAATTTCTTTTTTTTTTCATTCCTAGAGGTTGGGATGACAGCCACCAACACTGTGGAAGTACCTTTTGAGATGTAAGACTTACCTTCATTATTGCTTCCCTTTCGTGGCCATGAATCTAGCCCTAACTCTAACCCTAGACACGGCCATGGTGAGCATTTGCAGAGTCTAGTTCTACTGTTTTCCTTTCACCTCATCTATTTCCTTACTCATTTGCAAATTATTAACTCTGATAAGGTGCCTAGCAGCCAAGTCCAGCTCCTTGGCAGATCTCTGTCAAATTATGCATCAGCACCCAGAACAGTGGTGGGTGTTCAAAAAATTCACATTTTTGCCACTGTTTTTCACCAGCCCCTCATTTGGAGAAAACATACTATGCCTCAAAGCTCTGCTCTTCCATGTAGATCCCAAAAGTCATGCCCACCAACCCACAACATGCTCACAGACATTTACAGCTAGCTCATTTGTAATGAAAATGTGTCTCTTGTATACAGAGTTGTTAACAGTACTGTCTTTTGCCTTGACTGTTTCAGAGAGAAAGGAGCTAAAGTGCAAGCTGAGTGCATAGCTTATTTTAGTTTCTTTGTTCCAACAAGCTGCAGTTTTACACCTCCATTTATTTTGCTATCTACAGTGTTTTTGCCATATACAGAAATGCTTTAATATCTTTCTTGGTGCAGTTATTCATTTGAGGCCAGTATAAAACCCCTAAGATCATTTGCTTAGATTTTTAAGTTCCTAAATAGTGTCTCAACTGAATCTCTCTGCTGTATACTTAACTGGTAGTTGTCTGTATTCCCTTTACTGTCAGTATATTATTCACTCTTCATACAACCAATCTGAGATTGAATCGTTCTCTTTACTTGGCAATGTTTATTGCTTTATCCAGATCTTTCAATGCTCATTTTTCCATTTTCTCCCAACTCCAAAGAAGGATCAGGTCCTTTATCAAGAATATAGTCTCCAAAAACTGGCGAGCTGTTAAATCATTCACAAACTTGCCTATTTTTTCAGTGATTTTTTGTGCTATCTTTTCTTATCCCTATTGTTTACAAGTGTCATTTTTTTCTCAGGGTGCAGTGATTGCTTAACTTCTGCCCTATTTAAAGTCATCCATTTCTGCTCAGGGCATAATGTTGAAAATCAGTTCCAAAAAGGTTGGTATCATCTGAAATAAACTTCCAATGGAAGCTTTATTGGGCATCTTTCACCTGCTAGTTCCCATTGCTGCTGAAGATTCCCATTGCTGCCAAAGACTCTCTCAGTTCTCTTCATTTCTGGAGACAGGGACCAAGTCTCTTGCCCTTTACGCTCCATCTCTGCGCTCAGGTATCATCTTGGGTTGCCTCCTAGTGATCAGGTTGCCCAGAGAGGTTGTGCAGTCTCCTCCTTGAGACCTTCAAAATCCATCTGGATGTGATCCTGTGCACCCTGCTGTAAGTGTTCCTGCTTGATCAGGGCTTGGACCAGATGGATCCAGATTTCCCTTTTAACCTCAATACATTCTGTGATCACAGACAGTGATTGCCTTAGTCCTCTTCCTACCCCAACCTGACCTTTTTCTGATGTGAACAGCACAACTAAAGCTGCATGCAATACAATAGGGAAGCCTCCATGGGCAACGGGTAACTCCACAGACCATTAAATAGACACTGAGGATGCTAAGGAAGAGGACCTACAAAGCAGCTTTGCAGGGCAGGCTTATATGCTGATTTAAAGATTTAGATGCCAAATTCCCAAGGAGTTTGAATAAAATCAGGTACTTATCTGCCTTTGAGGATCCCTGTCATTAGCCAAAGGCTGAAATATTAATAGGGATGAATGAGTATCACATAGCATACAATCACTGCCAAGTCCATGGTAGACAGAATACAGCGTTCCCTAAAGAGCTTAACTGCAACAAAAGAGCTCAAGTAAGAAGCCCTGCCCTTTCTGGAGAATTAGAGCAATCATTTCCGCTTGATGTACTTTGGTGCTCTTTCACATCTAAAATTCTATTATGTGAATTAGAATATCCTCTTCTACCAGCTGCCCAGTGGCTAGCAAAATCTCACATGTATTTCTTGGGATGTCTGTAAAGAGGAAGAGATATAGAATAACCAACCCATCTGTCATACAGCTGGACCCAGCAAAAACTAAAATCTCCTATTTTGTGTCCTAAAAGGAGCCCCTGACTCTACACATGGGGTTATTGGCCAGACTGTCTTCCTTCTGGGCTCTGAGCAAGCTCTGTCCCCAGTCCACTACCATGTTGATAGCTGCAAAGTGGAAACAGCACAGTGATGCTCTTCCTTCCTCCTCATCCCGTTGGGTTTTGCTTCCCCTCAGATGTGCTTAGGGCAGGGGAAGATAATGAAGACTTTACAGAGAAACCACAAGCCCAGATAAAGAAATAACAGAGGAAGGGAAGGAGAGGGAGCCAGTGGGTTAAAAAAGAAGAGCTCAGTGGAGGGAAAGGCTGGTGAGAACAAGGATGAGGAAGCTAACGGAGGGGAAAGCTGTCAGGGAATACAGAGATCTGATATCCAGTGAAGATGACACAGGAAATCTAGGTAGGGCATGGCATCACTAGTCCTGAAACAGGAGCTCTGGGGAGGATTCCAGTGCTTGGATCAGATCTGAAAGGCACCCATTTAAGGAAGAGAAAGCTGAAAAGCAGAGCACTGTATTCCCTTCCCAAGGTGAGGCCCAGAAAAGGAAAAAGAGTGATCTCCCCACAGCAGTCTGAACTATTGTGTTCTTGGGGCAGAAGACAAGAAGGTTTCTTGTGTGCCGGAAAAGTGGAAGAGGGCCTTTGACCCCCAAACATGTGATGGGACGTTGGGCCAGTAAAGTCCTCTATCCTGTGTGAAGAACTGGCTTTGCTCATGCCCAGCTGTTGTACACCCAGCAGATGCTGCAAAAAGCGCCCAAACTTATCTGGCAGGGACATGAGATCTCCTAAGTGTTTTTACAATCTGCCAATGCTGGCAGGATATCAAGGTCTTAATTCATGGAACTATTCTTCTTCAGGATGTTTGACTGTAGCATCATAGCTCAAATTAACTTAAGTATGTGTTTGACTTCCATTGCAAGTGATTTTCCTTCACAGCTGTGTGTAGAGCTAGCAGTGCAACACAGGACTGTTCTTTCCAGCTGCTAATGTACCAAGAAAGAGCCTCTTAGATGAAATAAAGCTGAGTTTATGTATAGCAGAAAGTCTTTCTTGGCCTCATGGCAATCTCAGCAAAAGTTCATAGAGAGGAGCTTCAATCCCACCGACCCTTGTATTTGTCTTGTATTTGTCTTAATAAACCCATATCATTGCATTAGGAAGGGAAGAGTGCTCTCCATCACCTGTCAACACCAGGCCACAGAAATGCAAAGGTGCAGAATGGACTGCTGTGCCATGCCTTGAAGGGCAGATGTGAATCAGAGTTTGGTTTCCTTACTGATCACAGAGAGATGTGTATTCAAACACCAGCTGACTCTCAGACATATGATGCCCCTTGAAATTGTAGATCTGTCAGAACAGGTTTTATTTCGTGGGGAAAAAAAAATCAAGAATTCTGATCCAAATACATCTTCTCCAGCCATGGAGATTCCATTGAGAAAAGAAGGAAATGTGCAGGCAGTGGAAGCAGGGATGTGTGGCCTGGAACGAATACAGGCACGCCATCCATATGGGCAAAGATGTGATCAGGAAAGCTAAGGCATGGATGGAACTGAACCTGGCAAGGGATGTTAAAAACAAGAAGAGATTTTATAAGTACAATGATCAGAAGAGACAGGCCAAAGAGAGTATACTTGCTCTGATAAACAAGAAAGGAGAAGTGACCAAAACAGATGTAGAGATAGCTGAGGTACTCAACAAGTTATTTGCCTCAATTTTCACTGGCAGTCAGGCTTCCCATGTTTCTCACATCCCTGAACTTGGCACTCCCATTTCCAAGAAAAGGAGAGAGAAAACATGAAGCAGACCAATGAGCCTCACATCTGTGGCTGAGAAGATTGTGGAGTGGATCCTTTTGGAAGCTGTGTTAAGGCACATGTGAGAAGAGGTGATCTGAGACAGCCAGCATGACTTCATCAAGTGCAGATCATGACTTATCTGGAGGCCTTCTAGAATGGAGTGATGGCATTGGTAAACATAGGAAGAGCAACTGACGTCATCTACCTGGACTTTAATGTGGTCCAGCACCACATCCTTATCTCTAAATTGGAGAGATGTGGATCTGAAGAGTGGACTATTCAGTGGATGAAGAATTGGCTGGGTGGTTGCTGTCATAGGGTTGTGGTCAACATGTGGTCAACTATGCTGACCTCTCCATTTCCCACAGTGGCCAGTCACAAGTTGCATCTCCCAGGGGTCTGTCTTAGGACCAGTGCTCTTTAACATCGTTATCAATGACATAGAAAGTGGGATCAGGTACATTCTCAACAAGTTTGCTGGTGACACCAAGCTGAGTGGTTCAGTTGATATAATAGAAGGAAGGGATGCCATTCAGAGGGCTCTCATAAACCTAATGAGGTTCAATAAGGCCAAGTACAAAGTGTTAACCTTGGGTCAGGACAATTGCAGATAAGAATACAGACTAGCAGAATGACTCAAAGAACAGGAAATTATTTACTCAGAGTATGATGAGGCACAGGAACAGACTGCCCAAGGAAGTTGTAGATGCCCTATCCCTAGAAATGTTCAAGACCAGGTTGGATGGGGCCCTGGGCAGCCTGA